GCTATTTATCCCACTGCTTGGGCACAACTGGTAGTGGCTGTATTCCCCTCCTCCAGCTCTCCCTCTGGGTCCATCAGTGATGCTCCCGTTCCCCAGCTTCTTCAGGTCAAAGTAAGGCAAAGGGCACCTGCACTTCCAGAAGGTGCCTAACTATCTTTTGTTGATGCCTTTAACAATACCCACACCTTTGGGAATGGTCCCTCATTTAACTCTCCTCAGCTCTCAATTAGTATAGCCATCTGATTCACCACTAGAAAATATATTCTTTGTTGAGAGGTGAAAACGCTGAGACCCAGACAAATAAAGTAGCTGACCCAAAGTCACACGGTTACTTAGAATCAAGACAGATCCAGAACATGGCCCTCCACACAACAAGCAGGGTGCTCCTTAGTGCTCACTGGCATCCTCCCATGGCTATCTTCTGCCCAGTCACATTGATGGACATTCTCTACAACCTCTAGTGATAGTTTGTTTTGTATTCAAACTTGAACACTCTATTGGGTAGCTTTTAAGGTAACCCCAAACACAGAGGAATGCTTTTTTTTTTAACCAGGAAAATTAAGTTTTTTAAGTTTTTGCCTACATAGAAAGAGACTAGGAAACTATTTAAAAAGCTAAGCATGAAAGCTTATGAGAGTGATGAAATTTCCCCCATGCAGTGAATTCTGATCATGAAAGATGAAAGGGGAAGGATGACATAAATCTGCCCAGCATAAGGGGCTGAGGCATGGGGGGCAGGTAGAGCAGATGATGATCAACTGGGGAAAGACTTGAATCTTCACGAGAAATATAAGCGGGTTGCAGAAGGGTAAGGAAGTCTAGGCACATGGGTTTCTGTCAAGCAGGGGGAATGAGAAGTGCACAGCAATAATGAGCAGATGAGATATCAAACAGGAAGCCCAAGCACTGAAAATTGTGTTGAAAGCACATTTTATATAGCAGGAAGTTACTGCACCTCTGAGGAGGGACTGCTTCTGAGACCCTGGCATATTAGGGGCCTCCGACTGTTTGAGACATTAGTTCTCTAAAACTGACCTCTTTTGAAATGTTCCTCTACAAAGGTGGACTTTGTTGTAATCATACTTTTATTTCACAGTCTTGTTCTTAAATAATTGCACACGCACATATTTACTACATTTGCTTTTCTCTTAATTACATACTTGACTGAATTTCCCAATGTTTTTTGGTCACTTGATGTCACACACTCCGTGTCCCTATGGATATTCTGTTTTACAATAAGCTAGAACGTTTAAATATCTAATTCTCTTTAAAGGAGTTGGCATAATGGAATTACTAACATCTATTGAACACTTCATCTGTTGAAGTATCTTCCCACTTTACTTGATTGATTAACATTCAATTGTTAGAACAACCCTATTATCTCCCAAGCTTGTGGCCATCTCCTCACCCTCTGCTGTGCTGCCTGGCCCCTGTCTCTGGCAAGCAGGATTTCCCTGGAGCTCTGATCCCTGTCAGTGTCCCAGGCTGGATACATGGAAAGTTTTGCACAATGAAGTCACTGTTTCAGCTTCTCAGCATGAAGGACGGTTCCTTCTGATGCAACCACCCTGCCTTGACTTTTGACCCTTCAATCAATCAACAATTATTTATTGGGCTCCTATAAAATGTTCTGCAAGGACCCATCTGGCCTCTGCACACAGGAGCTATTCTAGGTATGGAAAATGCAGTTAGATCATGGAGACCTTGAACTGGTTCACAAGGATAGGAGGAAGAAGAAGGAAGTCACCTGAGGACAAAGAAATAGAGGCTTAAAAGCAAGGAAGGGAATAATGAGAAGTACTAGGATAGGTTTGAGAAAATGTAAATTTTCCCCTAACTTCTCAAGTGGGAAATCTTTTTTAGTCAAAAGGAAGACCACTCTTATAATTTCATGTAAGATCTGTTCAGTTAGTAAGCTATAAACGCAAACACACATTCATTACAGTGTCTAGAGTCTTTAGTTTGTTAAATTTTTAATATTATTTAGAGTTAATTTCATCCTGTTAGTTACATGTATTTATATTATTGCATTGACACATAGAAAATTTTAAGACAAAAAATAGTAATTAAGTATTCCATTGTGTACATGTTACAAGTAGGTAACAACGGATCCCATCAATATGTACAACCATAATGCATCAATAAAAAAAAAAGTGGGGAAAATAGGAATTAAAACTGGGAATTGTTAAGTTGCTGAATCCCCAAACTCTGATGTCTCCTGTATTTTCAGCATTTTGATGTCATGGAGGACTATTAATTAATATAATTCACTCATACATTGCTTTACCACTAAGAGAATGTTTATTTTTATCATTAAGACAAATTGCATCAACATATACCTGGAAGCAGCATTATATTAATGGTAGAATTCCTATCTGTCTATTCTTCTGCCACTTGTAGCATCCAAAATGGGACCTAACTTTTTTGGGGGTCTTTGAAACCACACATCTAACTCCATGTTTTACTTATTTCTAAAGTTCTTCTTGATTTAATTTTGATATCTTGGCTTATTGGGGTTTCCTCCTATTGAAAAGTACTTATCCTTATATAAGAACTTTCTCTTAAGAAAGTGGGGAAGCAGCACTGGATAGTCCTAAAAAGCAGGGAGGAGGGATAGCCTTAGAGCTGGCAGGGAGAGCTTGCATCTGGGGTGAAAGTGCAGAAGACAGGCTGTATTAAGAGTTTGCTCAGGTCTCTAACACATGACAATCTCCTAAATTTACCTATATAAGAAGTCCTATGTTAAAATTGTGGAACCAACCTTCAGTAGATGAATGAATAAAGAAACTGTATATATACATAATGGAATATTACTCAGCATTAAAAGAGAATGAAATCATGGGATTTGCAAGTAAATGGATGGAATTGGAGCATATTATGCTAAGTGAAGTAAGCCAATCCCCAAAAAACAAATGCTGAATATTTTCTCTGATATGAGGATGCTGATCCATAATGTGGAGGGCAGGGAGCATGGGAGGAATGGAGGAACTTTAGATAGGGCAAAAGGAATGAAGGGGAAGGGAGGGAACATAGAGGTAGGAAAGATGGTGGAATGAGATGGACATCATTACCCTAAGTACATGTATGAAGACACAAATGGTATGACTCTACTTTGTATACAACTGGAGACATGAAAAATTGTGCTCTATATGTGTAGTATAAATTTAAATGCATTCTGCTGTCATGTATAACAAATTGGAATAAAAAAAAGAGTCCTGGGCTGGGGATGTGGCTCAAGTGGTAGCGCGCTGGCCTGGCATGCGTGCGGCCTGGGTTCCATCCTCAGCACCACGTACAAATAAAGATGTTGTGTCCGCTGATAACTAAAAAGATAAATAAATATTAAAATTCTCTCTCTCTCTCTCTCTCTCTCTTTAAAAAAAAAGACTCCTATGTTATTTAACAACAGTCCATTATATTAAACCTGTTTCATTTGGCTTTGCATTTACAATGCTTTTGTCTTACTGGAAATGGTTGTCTTTCTTGGCTGGGGAAATTTTGGGTGTTTGGAGAAATAGGCCTAGAAGTTTCTCGCCGGATTTTGTTCGTACTGATTTTTAAAATTTCTTCTTGAGTTCAAACATCAGACAAATAGATTCTCCCTGGAAATAGCAGTCCAGATCAGGAATTCCCAATCTTTTGAAATGACTTAACCTTTTGACAATTTTCCCTTTCTGCATAAAATGTTTTATGGCATATATTTATCTCCAAGTAGAAATAAACCACACTTCATTTTAAGACTTGTTTCAGAGGAATTTTTAGACCCTGTCTTAAATTACTTGAATCATCCCGGAATAAAGAAGATCATTGGTTCACTTAATTCTTAGTGTCACCATTCCAGCCCAAAATGCTCATCCCATAAAGACAAACCTTTGGGGGTAATTATGCAGCTGTATATGACAGAGCTTGACTTAGGGGTCCATTGTTGGTCTCAGCAACTGTCTATGCCCCTCATCCCATGGAGTTCCATTTATTTCAGAGGGCAGTGTCAGAGACACAAGATTCAACATACAATGTGAACAACTATAGGAACTGTATGAATGCTTTATTTTTATAGCTGGTCCATGTACCACCAGATGGCTCTATTGTATCACCAGGAAATGCACACATGTGTAAAATCGGTCGTGTCATAAACCAAAGGGAAAAACAAAGCAACTGGGAGATCTTTAAAATAGGAGTACTGTTCATTCTTTATGGGGTTAATCAGAGGCAGCTGTGCCAGCAGGAGCATTCACCAGGAAGGAGAACACACCCAGGAGGCTATGGGAAGGTCATAATGCTAAGGCGTATGAGGTTTTCCTTTCTAAGTTTTCATATTGCTCTGTAAATATTAATTGTCACATTAGCCAGAGAGTACTTAGAAGTGCTCTCATATCAATGGAGGTTGTTACTACTTCCATACCAATTTTACATACTTTGCCTACAGCTTAGTAAAAGTAACTTTGGAATAATTTTGAGAGGCAAGGTCTACACATATGCTGATTTGAGTTGTATTAATCATGCTCTGAGGAAGAATGATAAGACTCTAAAATGTGGCGTCTTTGCTTTAATAAATTGTGATAAGAAGGTGAAGATGAGAGGGAACAAGGGCTTCTCTGAGTTTCAATGATTCTTTACCTCTGAAAGGTAAAAATGAAACACACAGGTATTTTGGTGACATCTCCCATTAGGAATATGACAATTTGACCCCAATCTCTTGAAGTTAGAACAAAAGTTGTGGATTAGTTAAATTCCAACATGAGTCATCTTATTCTAACTTGCTAAAACTGTTTGTTAGTTTTAGCAAGTTAGAATAAAAATTATTATGTAATTTTTATTCTGCCTTTAGTCTGTAAATTGATGTACAAGACTAATGTTTTTATAAGGTTTTGCCGTTTTAGCACTTTGCTAAGGGGAAGATCTGTGTGAGTTTATTAAGCCTATCCTTAGTCCACAAAACAGTTCAAGGTGTGCTCAGGAACTACTCCTGTCAAAAGTAATACTCAATTATTGTTTTAAAGAGAGAGTCGCTGGACACTGGACAGATGGCGTTGACTTTGGCCCAACTTGAGACCTTGGAACTTTGCCTAAAGGAAGCAGAAGAAAAGACTAAAACCTTATCGGAACAGGTAATACCTGTTGGGGGAACTGGAAATATATGTTCCTCAGTGTGCAGTATAGCAGTGTAAATTTAACACATTTTAACTGCTGTCCCATTGACCCCCTCTCACGCACACACACAAGCACATGCACAGAGTTTCATTCAGTACTTATTTTGACCTTTTACTTTTCAGCCTTTAACACTTTTTCACACTTATATCTTATTTGATTTTTATTCACTACAGGCCATGAGTTGGTCAGGACTTCCTTAAGCATGTGGTTTTCTTGAATAAGCAAGGCCTATTTGCATTATAAACAGATAAGTCCCAAAATGAAATAAAACCTATGGAAGCCACACAGAATAATTTTCTTGAATTATGTAAAGAAAGCTTACTTGGAAGAGAGCTTTTCAAATATTGACTTTCCTCTAGAGTTTTTGAAATCCACAGACGCAATACAGGTCATAAGTGGAGCCTGGCCTGTGCAGGTGACGTGGACACTCTGTAGGTGGGTGCTTTCATGTGTGACAGGTCCTTGATTTCAGATTTGGTATCAAAAGAGCTCCCACCAGGGACCGGACTGTTTCCCAATAAGATTACACTTTGCAAGCAGTACAGTGCAACATGTACTGCTGTTGTGGATGGCTTTTCCCCACAGTAGGGTCTTGGCCTCTGGGAGCAAATCTCCCTGACACTGGGTCACTCCTGTGGGCATGGGGGCCAATGCTCATTCTCAGTTCCAGTCAGTGGAGGATCAAGGACAGAAGAGACCTTGAAACGTTAGAAATACATATTAATTTCTCATGAATTGATACATTTGGGTGAGACTATTTTAGAAATTTGAAAAAAAATTTTGTTTTTTTTTAAGAAACAAAGGTATTATTTGTACACTAAAATCTTACTGTATCAGAATTTCATAAAAATGTTTTTTCCAGAAATTTGGGGAAAGAGGCACTTATGAGAAAAAAAATGTATAATTAATATGTAATATAGTCATTATGTGTCAATACACAAATTGTCTCCATTTTTTTCCAACTTACAAAAAAGTTATATCCCTTACTTTGGCTTTTGTTTAATATTTACTGTGCAAGTGGCTCACCAGGGGACTTGGGGTTTCCTCTAAAACAAATAAAAGCAAACCTCAAACTGTGGCAAAATTATGAATTATAAAGAAAATAATGATGAATATGAGGTACCATTTCAAAGCACTCCCCCTCAAAAAAAAAAAAAAAAACCTAAGAATTTCAGAGCCTGCAAATCAGGAAGAATTTTAGCTTACTAAAAGAGATTATTCCTGCCCTAAGATATATGTTGATTTTATATTTGATTTGTCATTTAAATAAGTAAAACTCAATTTACTTATAAAAGAACACTTGTACTTTGTTCATTAAAAATATTTTTATTAACTAAAAATAGCCCCTAATATTTAAGATTCTTCACTGGATGATCTCTTTATGTAACACCAAATAATTAGATATATTCATTTTTTCAGTGTTTAGCAGATTAAATAAATAAAACTGGATTTCACTCAGCTTCTTTGTTTCTACCATAAGTGAGGAGTTGATTAGGTGTTTGAGGAAGAAAGACAAAAGCCAGAGCTTCTCTATCCAAGTAGCTCACAGACAACAGAATGATTGGAGGAGATGGAGAGTAACATGAGCTGCTTTTATGACTCCAAGATGAACTGTGCAATAGCATTAAGTTGTAGGGTCCATGTATGTTAATGTCCTAAAGCATGGTTCTTGAAGTTGTCAGATTTGCATAGCCAAGTAAATTTAATTGAAATTTGGCAATGGTTTGAGAAAAAGGAGAGTATGATGTGTAACGGTACATTACAGCATTTTCAATATTACATTTTTAATTAAGTTGAACATTTTATTAGATTTGGCTATTTCAAAACAGGTCAATTAAATCAGACACTGTTCTCCAAAGATTTAATCCTGAGAATATTTTGCTCTCTCCAGTGTTTTAGACTTGTCTTATCCTTGAAAAGATAAAAACTAATAGCAGCCCCCATGTGCCCGATTTTAAAACTTATTTTTTTTTTAATTAGGTGAGAGAAGGATAGGGACAGGGACAGGGGTGCAACTGACCTTTCTCAAGGATGTTCTTCAGGATATTTCAGAATGGAACAGAATGGGCATCTGTCTCAATCAAACATTTGTCCACTGGGTGCCACTGTGTTCCTACTAGGCTGTGCGACTCAGTAATTGCACAAAGAGAGATTTTCTTTATCATTAAAGACAAAGATTGCCGTGTGTGTGTGTGTGTGTGTGTGTGTGTGTGTGTGTGTGTGTGTGTTTGAAGGAATAATTTCACCTACTTTATATGTTAAGGCTCTTTTAAATGTCACATATTTAAGATTTGTTATAAGGATGTTGGGACTGCTAGCTGGCTTTCACTGTTAGTCATGAGACTGAGTGCTGGTCAGATGGGCTGGCTTGGTGGGCTGGAAGGGATTTTTGAAGAGCAGAATAAATAACAAGAACAAAGGTTTATATGGGAACAAAGGAGTGGTAGCTCGCAGTATTATCAGCCAGTGGATCTTGCCTTTGAGGAAAGAGTAAATTTCATTAATGGCCAATCTCTACCTCCTGGCTTTGCCTCTCAGAGAAGAATTAGAATTAACTCAGAATAGAAGGTAGAGACACCTGGGTGTTGTCCACATTAAGCATCAATCAGTCCTGGGCCTCAGTTTTCGAGGTCTATCTTGGCTCATATTTTAGTGAGTTTTCACTGCTGTGACTAAAAGATCCGACCAGAACAAATTGTAGAGGATGAAAAGTTTATTTAAGTGTTCATGGTTTTAGAGGTCTCAATCCATAGACAGCAGGCTCCATTCATTCCTCAGGGCTCGAGGTAAGGACATCATGGTGAAAGAGTGGCGTGGCAGAAGGAAGCAGCTCATATGATAATCAGAAAACAGAGAGAGAGGTCTCCACTTACCAGATACAAATATATACCCCCAAAGCCAAGGCCTCAATATCCACATCTTCCATCCACACCCTGCCAGCCTTCAGTTACTGCTCAGTTAATTCCTATCAGGGGATTAATTCGCTGATTGGGTTTAGGCTCTCACAACCCAATCATTTCTTCTATGAACCTTCTTGCATTGTCTCACACTCGAGCTTTTGGGGGACACCTTACATCCAAAACATAATAGCTCACTATGAAAAAGAAAAAAAAATACAGAAATAATGAAAAATAAGGATATTGCACCATTTCCTCTGGTGCAATCACACACTGAACAACTTTGTTGGGCTTTACTCTAGTTAATTATTCTTTATTTCTCTGCAGTCATGTCATTATTGTCAAAATAAAAAAAATATGAGATCAGAACAATTTGGAATTAAGATTTTTAATCTGAGCTATTCAAAGCTAAACCCCCAAACAAAACTAGTGACAGGGTATTCCTATGTCTTCACTCAGTGGCTTATAAGACCAGTTAGGTGATATGCAAAGAAAATTATTCCCCCTTTCTCTTTTTCTGCCCAAGGTTCTCCCCTGTCTTAAATAACAACAGACGCAACAGAGAATGGAGTGAGGGGAGTGTCTAACTCACATCATACAGGAATGCATCCCTAGAAACGGAGCCCTATAAACACATTAGAAATGGTGGATAGTGAGGGGAGGAATTAACATTTATTAAGCATCTACAGTGTTCCAGGCACTGTGTTTCATTTGATCCACATAATAACCCTATGGAAGGTTCTATTAGGTCATATAGTTAGTATGGTGAACCTGATATAGGTACCCAAGTATTTTTAAAATTCAAAGCCCCAATTATTAAGAGTATGTGGTCATAGGCCATAGAGACACAAGAAGTTTCCTACACTGTAACACTGGACAGGAAGAATTTCCCTTGGTTTCCGGACTGGAATGTGGAGGCCTTGTTAGGTAGTTTGTGTACCCCCATACCCCCAGTTCCCCCCCACACACACATTCCCAGGTTTCCTGATACAGAGGATCTGGGGTAGAGATGAAGAATTTGTATTTCTAACAAGATCCCACTTAATTTAAGCACCAGAGCTAACGCTTTGGGCAGAGGATCCTTGTGACCTTTGTTTTGTGCTTCATAGCTCAAAGGAGTGATATAATAAGTGAGCATTAGGTTTGGGGTCATAAAACAGACAATTCAAATAAAATTGACCTAAAGAGGTAGGTGTTGAATTTCCACTCTTATAAAGTCAGTCTGGACACAGATTGTTAAAGGAATGAGCACTATCCAAAATAAACCAACAAAACTAACAGAATAGGAGTGGTGGTTTCTCAACCCTCAAAGGCCGGGGCTCTGCTTCTTTTGTGTTCACAAACAGGGCTTCCATCCATCCTGAAGGTCCCAGATGACTCTGCAGCTATAGGCTTCTTATTTACATTTCAGGCAGCATGGGGAAGAAGAGGTAAGGCAAGAAAGACCCAGAGGGGCAACTGCAGCCCTTTTCAAAGGGTTTTCTGGAAACCTTGATTCTTATATATTACTGAACCCTTTTATTTGTAAATAAGAATTCCTTATTCTTATATAAGAGAGGGTTGCCTTTCTTATCCCACCCTGTGACCATGCTATTGTACATAGTGCTTTGTCCTGGTAAACTTGATGTTTTGGATGTAGATATCCAGTTTTCTCATAATCACTTGCTGATGAAAGAATTCTTTCATGATCCTGACCCTGTTGACAGAATGAATGCATGAATGAATGAATGAATGAATGAATGAATAAGTTTGTCATAGATGCATTGATTTATCCCTGAACTCTTAATTCCATTCCACTGGTCTTATTGTGATGTTGGCAGGTATTGTTGATTGGTAGCCTCAGTCATCAGGTTGGTGCCTAAGAAGAGGCTTGGACACTACATACAAAAGAGAAAAATATGGGGTGTATTTGTTTTAGCATCTCAAACTGAGGCAAATGAAAAGAGGTCTTCTTCATTTGGTTTCTCAGTTCTCCAATCCCTGAAACAATGACAATGCCCTGTAAAGATCCATTAGAAACTGGATGCCCTTTGAATATACAAAAGATGTAGGAAGTATGA